TGTATGTAATGTATGTATCATGTATGTTTGTATGTATGTAATGTATGTATGTATGTATGTATGTAATGTAATGTAATGTAATGTAATGTAATGTAATGTAATGTAATGTAATGCAATGCAATGCAATGCAATGTATGTATGTATGTATGTATGTATGTATGTATGTATGTATGTATGTATGTAATGTATGTAATGTATGTAATGTATGAATGTATGTAATGTATGTAATGTATGTAATGTATGTAATGTATGTAATGTATGGTATGTATGTTTGTAATGTCATGTAATGTAATGTAATGTAATGTAATGTAATGTAATGTAATGTAATGTAATGTATGTATGTATGTAATGTAATGTAATGTAATGTAATGTAATGTAATGTATGTATGTATGTATGTATGTGTGTGTACGTATGTATGTATGTACGTACGTACGTACGTACGTAGGTATGTATGTACGCATGCATGCATGCATGCAGCATGCATGCATGCATGTATGTATGCATGTATGTGTGTATGCGTGCGTACGTATGTGTGAAAAGCTCAAAAAGCCCAAAAAGCCCAAAAAGCCCAAAAAGCCCAAACAGCTCAAAATGCACATGCGCAGGGACGGGAGTGTGCGCTGGAGCCTGAGACCTCTAGCACGCTGCTTGGCGGGCGCACAAGCAAGAGAACCTGAATCTGAACAACCTCAGGGGGCCGTGGGCTCTTGGCGGACAAGCCAAGCGAGGACACACTTTTCAGACGCGCGCCGAGCAGCTGAACGTTGAGGGGTCCGTTGAAACATAATTAGCAAAAACTCAGGCGGAAGCACACGCGATCAAGGCTATGTGCGCAGAAATGGTCAAGGGAGAGGAAGGTTCACGCACACAGAGCCACACACACGCCGACAAACACAGACACACAGACACACACACACAAAGACACATCCAGACACAAACACGCAGAGAGACACACACACACATATATATATATATATATACACGCTACCGCCCCCCCCCCAGGAACCTACCTTTTGGTTGCCTCTTCTAGGTTTGGGAGGAACGATCTCAACTAGGACCAGGATCAAATGAGACTAGAACCCAGGATCTCTCAACAGGGACTAGAACCAAACTGGGACTGGCCTGGACGCTCGACTTCCTCAGATTCTTACCAAAATTGAACTTCAAAAATATAACTTCCTCTATAATGTCCTGTATACTTTCTAATTATTGCAGTAAACTAGGTTGCAACCTAACACTAGAACCAAGGATCCCTCATCTAGGACCATACTAGGACTAGACTATTTAACTCTACTTCTTGTAGTATTTGGATGTCAAGTATTACATTGTGGTGGAAAGGAAGTCCTGTTGAATATTTGGTTTGAAACGGAATAGCCAATATTTTATAATCCAACTTAACATGCAAATTATGTCTGGGTATTTTCCGTATTTAAAATTCCACTGCGAATTATGACTGGGTATTTTCCGTATGTAAAATTCCACTGTTCAGTTTGCAGTTGCGCAGAACTTGATTAACAAGATAGCTACAACTCACAAGGAACTTTGTTTGTAATATCCTTTATACGTTCTATTTGTTTCAGGAAGCTAGGGCCAGACTAGGCCTAGAGCCAAGGATCTCCCAACTAGGACTAGGACCAAACTAGGACTAGACCATCTAACTCTCGTTCGTTCTATTGGACAGGAAATCGTTTGTACCACTGAATGTGACATAGAACAATCAGTATTTAAGTCCGAATCTAAATCAAAATTCTGGCTGGAGTATTGTCCCTACACAATCTTGAATGTGGGCCTAGATTGATGAAGAATCAGGACTTGGATGCTTGCACAACACTGTGCCAAGGCACAGCCGCGCAAAGTGCAATGTTGAACTTGGGTTTTGATTTACACTGATTTGAACCGATTTAAATCGGGCATGGTTTCAAGATTCAAGAATCCAGGCCAAACTTTTCCAGAGAATCTTGAACCCAGGCCTCAATTTAAACTGATTTAAACCGATGTAAATTTAAATCGGCCTGGATTCAAGATTCCCTGGAAAAGTTTGGCCTGGATTCTTAAATCTTGACTCTTGAGCCCGTGGCCGATTTAAATTTAAGTCGGCTTAAATCGGTTTAAGTCAAGCCTGAAGCTTCCAGAATGTCCTTGGAAATGCTTCTTTTTCATTGCTCTCCCCAAAGCCTAAAAAAGGGTAGAAACCACTGCAACTACCAATGAGTTCTTCAAAAAGGTAGCTCCCTGCCGGCCGGGGGAACCACATATATATATATATATATATATGTCATATTTATATCTATAGCGTGCATGACCAACCACACACGCACATTGTTTGGTGCTAAGTTCGGATTACACCACAGGCACAGGGCCGTTCCAACGCAAGTAATCCTGCTTTTAACCAATCATTTTCCCACAGCGTAGTCCTCTGGATGAATCCAAAGCTGACACAAGCTGTTTCCCGCCTGTGCGATTTGATGCTGCTGCTTGGCACATTGTTCCGGAGGTCCGTGAAACGCCCACCGAATGGCGAAGATTTGGTTGCCTAGCATGCTAACTTTGCCAGATGGTGCCAATGGCGCCGAGACGTGTCCTTGTCATTTTGTTCGGCGCATGATTTCATTGCCGTGCACGGCGATTGTGGCTCATGTTCACGCCCCAACTGCCAGGGAAGAGCGAGCCGCGACCCAATTCTTCCAACAGCCCGTGGTACGGCGTCAATGTCAGGCTGAGGTCTATACTTCCACGTGCGCCGTTGGAAATGATGGCGTTTTGCCTTCCTGCATCGCATGCATTCTTGCCTCACACGAAGCATGAATTGTGGCGAGCACATGAGGCAATTAGAGCCAAGAAATTAAGAAACAGGACTCGGAATCGCCGCAATTCTCGCTCTCAGCCGGCCTTTGGCTGCTTTATAGCCTGTCCCTCTGAAATAATTTGAGGGCACAGGCGCGGCAGTTAGTTTTCACAGTTTGTGTTGGGAGCGCTGATTCCATCCATGAGAATCTCGCCGAATCACAGCCAGCTTGAGGGAGCAAAGGTCAGCAGAAATATGGATTGACAAGATCGCGGACCACTGTTGAAGAGCCCCCCCTCAAGCCCCCGTGCTGCGCTGCCCGCGCAGGGCGACATTTGCCGCGCAAAGCTTTGGATATCCGTGCATCCTGGGCGCGCGCATCTTACGCGTGCGGCAAAGGGGATCCCGAGGGACCCCAGCCCAGGATCGCGTGTTCGTGAGGCAAATCATTTGCCCCATGGGGCCTATGCAGCGATCGATGGTAGTCGCGAGGGCGCGACCGAAGGCATTGATCCACCGAGTTTCAAGCAGGTCAAGCACGGCAGAAAACAGCTCATGAAGCCCCTCTGGCCGTTTGCTTGTTGCAGTAGGTTTCGTTTGTTTTTGAAAAGGCGTCATGTGTTTTCAACATCCAGCCAGAAAGAAATCGGGTTCACCAAGGTGTCAATTGGGTTGATGTCCATTTGGCCTCAGGGCCGAGGAATTTGATGAAAATTGTACCAAGATTTCTGACTTGGATGCCCCACAGGACTTCATTTTGCGCACTTATGGCACGTTAAAGGTCGGATGCGGTCGGCACGGCCTGCCTGTTGAGCGACCCTGTTGCCGAAGGTTCCCCGGGCCAAACATCCATCCATGGAGGTGCTCAGACTTCCGGGTGCGTAGAATAGCAGTTAGCCTCGCGGCAATTTTTGCAATCGGATTTTCCTTTGAGACTCGGTCCCCCAGCAGTGCCCTTTTACCTTTTTTTTGGGGGGAGGGTGCCCCTACTAAATTAGACTACAGAAAAAAATCGGGTAGCCTTATTCTAACTTCTCTGCGGGAGGACCTAGGAGAACCCCCTGTCCGCTTCCATTCGGCTTCCCATGGTTCAGCATAAGGGTGCAGCCCTCGGATTTCGCGCATGGAGGTGGAGCCAGAAGCTCAGAAGCTCAGAAAAGGCGTGGGCAAAGGGGTAGGGGCGGAATCATCTAGGGTGTCTTAGAAGGTAACTAAAGATGGTTTGGAAGCACTTCTAGGCTGTTTTTTTCCGCAACATCTAGGGTACGATACTCTTCTAGGCTGTTTGTTTGTACCTTCCCTTCATGAACCGGGATTTGGGAAGGGCCTTCTTTCAGCAAACCCCCACCGGCTGCCCCTCGCACGCGGCGTTCCGTTTCTCCTTGGGAATGGTTTTACTTCAGCCACTCCCCCATTACCAAGCCACACCGGCTGATCGACCATGATTGCCAGGCTTGCCGCAGTTGATTGTTGTTCTCAGTCTTGATGGCAAATCGACCTCGCTAAGGCAAAGGCCGGGGTTGTGGCCGATTTTGCAAATCAGGGCATTCGTAGAGGATCGCACTGGCCAGCTGAGGTTGGGAGCACGACACCGGGGCACCTTGGCCCGACCCGGAGAGGATCGAGAACTGATACGTTGGGGTGCTACACCAATATGACTTCAATGCTGAACGCTGAACTGTGAAGCCAAACTCCAGTGATCTCCAGTTCATCAGAGGTTCGGCACAGTTTTTGGTATGATTTAGTATTAAGGTCTCGCTTGTCCATCTTGGTGCATGTGGGGTCCGAAGGCCACGCTCTGACTTAAAGGCGCGGCGCGAAAACGTGCGTCTTGAGGTGTGTTGGACTTGGGGCCCCGACTGGTTGGTTTCCTTTTGTGCCTGCTCCAATCAACCAGCTGTAACACACCAATGTAGGTTGGAGCCTTGGAGGTTTACTGTGAGTCTTGAAAGGTCCACTTGCCTCAAAGTCAGAGATCTTGAGGCAAACTCTATGTGCTGACTGACAACGCCTGGGAGGCCGAGACGCTCTAAAGCGGGCCAGTTGGCGGATGGCTTGGGCTCCTTGTTTTGGCTCGTTCCCATGCTTCTTGGCACAAGTGGGGGGGGGGAGGAGAACGGAGCAGAACAAGAGAAAGTCATGATGAAGGTCCCACGGCTCTGTCTTTGTGGAATGCTTTTCAGGAACTATGTCAAGCTTTTGGGGGTGCTTGTGTAAGGACATCGCCGAGGCCGTTAGTTGGCGTGTTGGGACGTGCAAGCTTGACATGCGGCATGCCTTCTGCAGGATAAGGGCACCGGCTTGGTATCCGTCATCGCGGCGGCCTTGGCATCCCTGTTGCGTTCCGGTAGCGCATGAGCTGAGGAGGGGAGGCTCATCGTGCGCGATGAGACAAGCGAGGCGTCTTTGTATGCAGCTGCCTTAGCTGCAAGTGCCTTGAGGAAATCTCCAGGGACATGGGTAGTTTGTCGTTGGCTATGTTTGCATGGTACAGACATCTTCCCGGCACCCCTTTCCTTGTCTGGGCCCTGTGTCGTTGGTGTTTGACAAGTTTCCTTGCACCCCTTATTAACGGTTTTGAAAGGGAAGCATGGCGCCAGGCATTTGGAAGGATTTCCTGGCAACGCATGCCCCAACCGTATCCCTTTTCAACTGGACCTGGTGTCTGGTTCTGACCCTTGCTTCTGTGTCAAGTGACGCTGGAAACCAGACCTCGCGCAACGCAACCGTTCTTTGCGGGGCTGCTGCATTCGCTTGATCTTGGTCAGTTGCACTCGCGGCCTCTCGCGTATTGCGCCATATTGCTGCATTGCTCGAATCAGCGCATGTGCATGAAGTTCACATCGTACCGCTATAGTTGGAGTCACAAGCCTTAACACCTAGTGGAGGGATCAAACCCGAACTAGCTAATCCCTTGGATGTTTGTTTCAACCATCATCCATGAGGGTCGGAACCGTGCTGTTCGAAAAATTTGGACAACATAGGCGAGTGTTTGCGACTCTTTGCCAGATTCCCGTGTCAACCTGGGCCATGTTTCAACTAGGGCGAGTACCAAAACAGGTACTTAGTTTCGGTTAGTTTATTCTTGTCACTTGGAATGTGATGCAGCTCAGAGACACCTGCCCCCTTAAAGAAGGAAGAAGGGGGGTCATTGACTCCCAAAACAGGGATTTTGGCAGAAGGGTCAACTCTGTTGCGCAAGTGAGTGCTGGCAGGGACGGTCCTGAGGGAGAGAGAGGGAGAGAGAGAGAAAGAAAGAAAGAAAGAAAGAAAGAAAGAAAGGAAGAAAGGAAGAAAGGAAGGAAGAAAGGAAGAAAGGAAGAAAGGAAGAAAGGAAGAAGGGAAGAAAAAAAAGAAAGAAAGTGAGTACTTGCGGAAGCCATGGACAAATGTATCTTTTGTAGGAAGGCACCTGCACAAAACGACAGACATCCAACAACAACAAGCATCGATAGGCATCGATGAGACATGCATTCGTGCCTGCGTGCTTGCGTGCCTGTGTGCCTGCCTGCCTGCCTACCTTCCTGCGTTCCTGCTTGCCTGCCTCTGTGTGGGTGTGTGCGTGCGTGCGCATGTCGTTGTGTGCACACCTGTGTCCGTTTGTTTTGTTTGCTTGTTTGTTTGCGTGTGTGTCTGTGTGTGTGTTTGTGTTTGTGTTTGTGTTTGTGTTTGTGTGTTCGTGTGTTTGTGTTTGTGTTTGTGTTCGTGTTCGTGTTGGTGTTTGTGTTTGTTTGTGTTTGTGTGTGTGTGTGTGTGTGTTTGTGTTTGTGTTGGTGTTGGTGTTGGTGTTGGTGTTCGTGTTGGTGTTTGTGTTTGTGTTTGTGTTTGTGTTTGTGTTTGTGTTTGTGTTTGTGTGTGTGTGTGTGTGTGTTTGTGTTTGTGTTTGTGTTTGTGTTTGTGTTTGTGTTTGTGTTTGTGGTGTGTGTGCGTGTGTGTGCGCGTTTGTGCTTGTGTGTGTTTTGTGTTGGTTTCTATGTTGCTTGTGTGCGTGTTTCTGTGTGTGGCATTTGCTCACACTGGCATTCACTTGTGGGTGACATGCATTTTTGGCTCGGACGGTGTCTTTGCTCGCACGATTTCGGACATGTTCTTTTCTCCTGTTGGCCTGGCACCAAGACCTAGAAGCACAAACAGGCAACCGCACAAGTCTTGGGGCGACACGGAAGTCGGAAGTGCATCGCGAGAAAGAGGTGAAGTTGCGTGAGCATGCCTATGTCAATGCAGCGTGACTGAGTGTGTCATTCTATGTCATTTGAGCCAAGAAGGTTAAGGTGAAATGGTCAGGCTCACGGGGCCTTTGTTGGCCGAAAGGGAAGTCGAGCCACTGCTATCACCATGTTTTGTTCGCCCAGGACCGGTCGGTGTCAGCAAGTCGACTTCAGGCTTGGTCGGCTTCTTTCGCTCAAACGCCACCCTCCTGTGAGAACACCCCCTACAGAACACACGCGCTTGGGAAAGATTCAGGATTTTTGGGGGCCTGGGCAATTCAAACACAAGCTTTGCTGCCCAGTGCATTTACCTCTTTGTGTTTTTTTGGGGAGACGGCTTCATGAAACCAATGAACCAGAAGGGGAAGGCCCAGTCCTCAACTCGATGTTTGACTTGCACGTGGCAGGTCTGTTCGTAGTACCCTAAAACACATTCTCAATGTTTGAGTTCCTGTTTGTTGGGACCAACAAACTATGATTGCTTTTGGCCAGTCCTCTCAGGGAATTCAGCATTTGTTAGAACCCACGCCCTTCAGAATGGTTGGGTTCCTGCTGGTTTCTCAGCAGGGTCCGCACGCTGTACTCTTGAGAAAGCAGCCTCAATTTGTTCAAGGGTCCCGAATTTGGGCTCACAAGGCGGAAGTAATCATCGCTCGGTTTTGCAGGAGTAACAATCCCATGGTTAAACAACCTTTTTTTGAACATCATAATTTTGCAAAGCCCTGACCTTGCCTTCCAGGGGGAGGGCGTCTCCAAATCCATCGTGGCGCCGAGCTTGGAGCAGACCAAAGCCTAGCACCGCTCCGTGAAGCTTTCGCTTGTTGAGCACAAAAGGTGCCCCATCACCGCTGCATTCTTGGAGTGTCCTTCGTTGATTGCAGCGGGCCGTTTCTGCCGCCGCTTAGCAAGTGGTGCATCTGAACCAAACAGAATGTGTCATTCACTCTAGACTCTGGCTCAGAGTAGTCCAATTGTTTGTTTAGGCCCCTGAGTTGGTGGCCTCTAAATTCCAGATCCCGACGGCTGGCAACTTCTTGTGCATGCGTTTTCTCCGCCTTGCCTGAGATTGCAACTGATGCAAGTGAACTCAGGGCCGTCTGAATCTGTCAAGGTGGTTGGGGCTTCGAGGGGGGGCGGAGGTATTTAGTTTGATTTAGAGAAATGGCCGGGAACGGGTGGAACGTGCGACTCGGCGCGGCTCGCGGCTGCTTTGCGCGCGGCTCGGGCCGAGTCGCTTTGATTCCAAGGTGTGGGAAGATCCCGAGCGGCGACCTGAGCCCTGAATGCCTAAAAGGAAGGGCCCGCAGCGGCCTGAAAGCTGAAAGCCAGCACAGGCGGCCTTTCTGTCGCGTTCCAAGCTTCTGGGATACAGCATGGGTGAGCGCTAAGCCATGGCGAGAACATGCTCCCAGCATTTCTTCTTCTGAACCGGTCACCCTGAGCGTGCGCATGTTCCACTTTCTATTTGGGCAAGCAAACAAACAAAATATAAGCAAGCTTGAACCAAACCAAAACAAGAAAAGCACAGAACCTCGAGAAACCCAACACAACACAAGCAGGACTATGCCCCCAAATCCGGATAGGTGACATAGTGTGTTTCTTTTCTGCATTATCTTTTTGCGTTGAACCTCGAGAAAGCTTGAACAAAAGACTGCCCCCCACAGGTGACGTCTTTGTTGTGCTTTTTCGCTTTCTTTGCTTTTCTTCTCAGGGGGAAGGGGGGTTCTCGAGCTGTTTTTGCATTTGTTTGCTGTGTGCAAGAGCTTCTGTAGTTCACTACGCCAGTTCTAAGCCCTATGCCTTTGATTGAGCTACTTCTGTCTAATTTCAGTTAAGCATTTGACAAAGATATGAAGTTGAATTCATAGGTCCCAAAATCGTTGATTAAATTGTGCTTAAAACGCTTGTTGATTTGGACAGACTATTCTACGGAATTCCTGCGCAACATTTGATTTAAGTTGAATAATCATTCTTTGAATTCATATAAAGTTCTGTTTAGATTCATTTAGAAATTGAGCAGGATTTGATAAACACATTAAGTAGGAATCAGAAGGAACTAATTCAGAGCTTCCAACATGTGTTTTTTGTTAACCACTGCCATGGTCAGAAAACACCATAAGACAGTGTTTTGTAGCGGTTTTTGGTCTCAATTCACGTCTCCGCTAACGGCTGCTCTTTATACTTCAATTAGAATTTGAACAGGGTTCGATAGGGATATACTTGTTCCGAACCCGACTGGATTGTTAGAATTTGCACACGATTTTCATTCCGGTAGAATTTCTGCACACGTCAGTTAATATTTAAACATACATTACTCAACCACTTCAACTCGAATGTCCATTCAACGTGTCAATCAAGCGCACGCTCACAGCGTGCCTCTCTTTTTTCTTCTCTCGGGCTCTTGTAGATCTCCATGTGGTTTGACGTGAAACCCAAACATCCAGTAGAGAAATCTCCTTGGACCCCTCTGGGGTCATGTCATGTTTAGTTTGGGATCGCGTGCCTTTCGTTTTGGGTTTCGCGTCCCGGACCGGGACCCGAGACGACCTCCCAGGCTTCAAGACTGTGCCCTCAGCTTCCAGGACCTGCGTTCGGGAAGATATATCCGCTCAACGGACGTCAGGGCGTTAAGGCCTCGAGTGTCGGTAATTGTTCTCATGTTTTTTCGTGTCCCTGCTTTTTGGCGTTTGTTTTTTTTGTTTGCTGCGTTTGGTTGGTTGTTGCGACCAGCGGCTTGGCCGCCAAAACTCGGTTGGAGAAGTTTTTCATTGCGAGGGTTGGAGGATGAAGGCGTTTGACGGCAGCATGGCAGCATGTGTTTGTTTTAAGCGCCGCGAGTTTCGCTTTCTTCATGAAGCGGCGTTACTTACTAACATCGCTGCGAGGATGCTCGATATATAGAATCACTGGCTGGTTTGCCTGATGAGTAGGATATGTTGAAGTTTCCTAGGTCAGGAACCTCCTGATTTTCTGCGGGGACAGTGGCTGCACTGATTCGCTTCGCGGTCGCGAAGCACCGCGAAACATTGAACCAACCCTATCATTGTCAACATGTGTCCAACACTTAAAAAGCCTTCTCGTTGGTTTCCTTTGAACGGGGTTGGCTGCAACACCCGGCCTTCGGGTTCACCCTTAGCCCATGCGCTTCTCATGATAGGGCGCGTGCGGTCAGGACCCCGACAGCGCCCAGCAGATCTTTGCAGAACTCTGCCTGGGGACCAGAGGGAAGACTCGGAAGCTGGCTTCCATGGCTATGTTCAGAGTTGGAACCACCAACAGTGGGCGGACATGCATCCCCGAATTCTGATATCTAGGGTCATTCAGAAATTCCTCACTTAGTCTTTCAGCAGGCTTCTCGATGTTCCAGACCCCAAAGAGCTAGAAGCAGTGCTAGACTGAGCTTAAACTTTTTGCCTTAGTTTCCCTTTCCCCAGATTTCTCTCTGGCCCTGTTGGTGCTTTTTCTGGCAAGTTCCGGGCAATCACATGTTCTCACTGGGGGTGCCGGGCGTGTACGAAAGGTACCACGTAGAGGGTTTAGGTTTCCTGTCGTCTATGTTATTTTTTTCTCCGACCCCTGAGTTTGGATCCATGTGCCGCCTCTCTGCTCTTTTGAGCACAGGGGCCGGGGCCCCAAACAAGGTCCGACACTAAAAGGAACATCCTGAAGTTGGGGATGGCATTTCCAGGTTGGCTTTTTGAGCGGGGGTGTCACCAGTGGTCAAGAAAAGGAGGACAAGAAAAGAAGGATGAATCAAGGAAGGCCGAAAGGAGCATTTCAGTGCTGTCCCCCTATTTTGGTGGACAACGAAAGCATCCCTCGTGTACCTTGTCTTGCCCCACAGCTTCAGCTCAGGCGGCGAGAAGGCACGGACGGGGGCAAGGTGAAACAGGCCATCGCCCCATACCGAATAAGAAACAAAGAGGACATACAAGCAGCATTTTCAGGCACTGATGAAAAGTCATGATGTTTTGTCCCCTTGTATAACAGGGTCTTCTCTTGGGCTTGGTGAGCAGGGTGCAGATCATTGTGTGATTTGGGCCTTGCCAGACTGTGCCGTGGGAGCTTCATTGTTCAGGTTGCTCCCAGCGAAATACCTGCCTTGTAAGCTTCTTGGGGCAGGGAACCCCCAGAGGCTGTGAAGAGCCAGGGCGAGCCCTGCCTGCTGGGGCGGGTGCGGGGAACCTGAACATTACATTGGACAAGGCCTTGCTTCGTTGGCCCCCGCTCAACAAAGATTCTAACACAACCTGCGCGAAATGTGTGCCCCCACGCAGCCTGAGAGATCCAGCGCGTGGTGTTCTGAGCCAAACATATCTCGCAGCCATGGCGGATGGACGTGACTTCCGCGGCGAGTTGCCTGAAGAGGACCCGATGGCAGAGGACAGGGGCTGCTAGATGATGCATGTTGCTGTGAAATTCATGAGTTTTGCCTTCAAGCACATCTTGATGTGGTGCCCACCCTGGGTGGTGTAAAACATCTTACTTAGCTATGGCCTCCTTTGCTTCATTCAAAGGGAAAGCAAGCTGGGGTTTGGGGGGTTTGGGAGGAGTGTCCGGGATTGAGATGCTATGATGGTTTTTCAGCCTTCTTTCATTGTTTCATATTGTTTCCTGGTTGGGAGTTTAGAAGGAATTTCTGCGTTACGGACACTAATTGAAGGTCGCTTTGCGCGAAGACAAGGTGAAAGAATGAACGCATTCGCGAAAAAGGGCAATCCGGGGTTGGCTTCTTGAGAGAGTGAGGGAGGGAGAGAAAGAAACAGAAAGAACAAGAAAGAGTACGAGAAAGAGAAAGAGACGAGCAAAGATAATGAGAAAGCAAGAGGGAGAGAGAGAGAGAGATAGAAAGAAAGAAAGAGAAAGAACATACAGAAAGACAGCAACATAGAAACAACATAATGACATTCACGCAGAAAGAACAGAAAGCAAGAAAGCAAGCAAGCATGGACGGAAGTAAGCAAGGAAGGAAAGAAAGACAGAAAGAACGCAAGAAAGGACATCAGGAAGAAAGAAAGAAAGAAAGAAAGAAAGAAAGGAACAAAGAAAGAAAGAAAGAAAGAAAGAAAGAAAGAGAGATGGGAGCAAGAGAGATGGGGAGAAAGAGGGAGAGAGATAAAGGGAAACAAGGGGGGAAAGGCGAGAAAGAAGTACGCCCCCGGCTGATCCCAGTTCGGTCCAAGGTTCGCACAAGCTGATCACCGATCACGTTAATCACCCGGCCCTGTTCGGCGTGCCTGAAGGACCGGCCAGAAGAGGAAGAGGAAGGCGAGGACCTTTTCGGGGACACCATGCTGGACGACTACCGTGAGGAGCGCATCAGCCGTGAGCAAAACCATAGTTTTGCGACCTAGGGTCTTGCCTTGGTTCTTTTTGAGGACCAGGGCAACTCTGCTTGTTAATGGCAGTAGCGCGTGTATCAAGTGCTGAGCGGGTAACCTCACGTTTGAGTCTTGGACTGCCTCAGTTTTTGGTCAGGGAGTTTCTCCAACCTTTCGATTCTGAAGGTCTATAGCCCATGTGAGGTTTGTTCGAACCTCTGAGCATGAATCTAAACCTCATGCGCATCCCTAGCTTTTTGTTTAGTTGCTACGGTAGGGGTTTGGACCCGACGTCATGTGGGAAGCAAGGCGATGTTTTACATTTGTCCTGTGAGAACCAGGGAGCCCGCGACGGGCCACTGCTAGTGTGTGGGGGTGGATTACAGGATTGCTAGATTTTCTCACTGCGCCTGGCCAGATTCTAGTCCCCACCCCATTCACCGGACTTGCGCTGGAGAGAATGGCCTCAAAATTAAACAAAATGGTGGTTGAATAAACGGAAAAAAGGCGCAACCCCCTAGAATGTGGACAAGTTCCTCGGGCGACAGGACCCAGGCCTGGACACCTACGACCCTGAGCTCATCGACGACGCCCCCCACGAGCCCCTGACCATCCAAGCACGCCTGGCCGCGGAAAGGGAGCTGGCTGCCAGGGACCGCCAGGAGTGGGGGGAGTCGAGTCCTCGCTCCTTTCTCAGCTACTGCCCAACCCCCCCTCCCCCAAGGATCCCAATTCTCCAGGCCGGGGTCAGGCTTGCTTAAAGGGAAACTCGCCCATTTTGCGGGTTCCATGTCCCATTTGGAGGCAAGACACGCCTGGCGAAGCTTGCGCCAGGGCGGTCCTGTTTCGGGAATGTTTGATCCTCCTAGCGCCTGCAAAGCAGAGCACCTGCAGCATGCACTTTCACCAGCGCTCTGGACAACACTTTCAGAAAAACAAGGACGCCTCACGCCGTGCCCTTGCCCGGTGGCACCCGCGGAAAATGTGCGAGGTTTAGCAACTTTGCCTCCGGTAGCCCGAAGCAAATCGAGCTTTTGATCCTTTTGGTTTGCAAGCTGTTGGGGTCATTCACACATAATCGCCTTGTGGTCTTTTGTTCAAGCATCTGGGCTAATCTTTATGCAAGTACATATATGGAAGATGAGGGGTTCCGTTCCGTTTTTCTCCAGTTGCAAGTCTACCCTTCCAGGCATGGAGGCTGCAATTTTGCAAGCCACATCCTGTGGGAGCCGCCTGTCCCTTTCCATGATTGGAGCCCTGGCAAAGATTTCCTAGGCACGGCAACACTTCCACGTGTCTGGGAAATTTGGACGTTTGGTGGGTGGCAAGAAAGCCGTCGCCCGCGCAGGAGGGCCGGGTCCCGGCGCTGTCCCCAGACTCCCCGGCGCGCCCCGGGGCGCGGAATGTGCCCAGCACCCCGGCCTTCCAAAAGCCGCTCGGAGCGGATGTGAACAGCGGCGGATTTGGGGGGGTGGCTTTTTAAAGAGGGTAAAGTCAAAAGCTGAGGGAAGAGCAAACCTCCGGTTTTTTTTTGGGGGGGGGTAGCCTATTTGACTTCATACCCATTTTGATGGGGGTTAGCATGTTGAAGGGGGGTGGCGGGTTTGTTGTACTTACCAAACCCGTCTCCCTTCTAGTTTTGATGTTCTGCAGATTCAAAATGGAATCGACCCAGACATTTGCTGTCAGGGTTGCGGAGGTGGCGCTGGCCCATAGCAAGCACGTTACCGCGTTCGTGTCCTTTTCCAGCGGCCCTTAGAAGTGAGCCTCAGGCAAACAGGCAACCCCCGATGGGGGTGTTAACACAGTGTCAATTTGGGCGACGCCTTTTGATGGCTTCACGCAACCGAGGCAACTGGAAAGAAAGGCAAATCCTTGGAACGAACCCAAGCCCGCGGCCCGAGGAAAACGCAAGCCAGTCTTAGGCTTTCTGCTTTCCAAACATGTGAGGAGAATGGCGGAGCAGCTTCAAGCAAGTCCCAGCAGCGCCGCCGGCTCCAGCGAGTTTGACGACGCCACCAGCAGCAAGAAGCTTGGCTCGGGGGATTGGGGAAGGAGCCTCTGGAAACCGTTGGAAACCCTTGAAGTGAGTCTGCTTAGCTTGATGGATTTATGTAAGCTGATAGGTGAAGATCAGTCAGCTAAGTGGCACAGATTCTTTGGACCGCGAAAGCTGGTGGTTACGAATTTTCATGGGATACCACCCTGTCAGGACATGACGCTGCATGTATGCATTTCTGACTCTTTAGCAACACATACCAAAACCAGTAAATCATCCATACGTACCCGACCAGAGTTTTGGTGGGATTCAAAAGAACCTCACTCGTACTGGAAAATATTTATGCAATTTGCAGAAAGGAACCGCCTGGTGTCTTCTCACCAGCCTCAAATCAAGATTCCAAGACCCAACAACGTGTGTAGCCGGGGGGTGGACTGGACTGGCGAAGCCTTCCTCACAGGAAGAAGCGCCGGCGCGTGGACTTCACTGCGGAGGATGAGGAGGACGAGGAGGCGACTTTTTTGGGCATCCAAGGTGAAAGAAGTCCGCAGATGCATCAATGCAAAGGGTGTGAAACTTCCCCGTTTTGTGGGAAACTGGGCTGCTTCCGAACAAAACAAGCCATTGGTTCATGCAGCCGGAGAGGGCATATCATGGGTTTGTGTCGAAATCGTGGGCCCTCGAAAGTGAACTCCCTTCAAGCCACAATAAAGAATACCCACTTTTGAAGGCATCAGCCGTGCGGCTGTGCCTTTGTGTTGAAGGTACCCCGTTTTTTGGACTTTGTGTTAGAGAGAATTCCCGAACACAATGTTCTGGCAAACCCAGGAGGGTTTCGGGGTTAGCTTACAATGCCAATCTTGGTTGAACATCAGCCTTGTGGGCCAATGCAAATTTGATTTCCCCCTGGTGAGATGACGTGTATATTTGTGGAACCCAGTCAGGTCCATTTCGGAGGAGTTGCGGGTTGGTTCGGAGGGTCACTTTCGGTCGATTTCAGGGCTGGGTTTGTGCCCCATCGCCCACCAGATTGGCATACTTCTGAGGGTCCAAGGGGTATTCTGTGTCCCGCACTTTCAGGCTGGTTGCTGGATTCTTCGCTCTATGGATTTTTCTTGGGGACCTCCAAAAGTTGAGCGAGGACCGACTCCGCAAGGTAATTTCCAAGGCCGGGCATTGGTCCGTTTCCTCAGGTTCCGGAGGCGCACTACGATCTGAACCACGAGCGCCTCTCCCAGGCTGGCGGGGGTGGGGCCGGCCTTTGTGGTCCGAGTTGCCGGCCCGAAAGGAACATACCCCGCCAAGAAGAAAATTGCAGAGATGGGTTGGTTTTTACATATTTGTATACATATGTTTAGCATGGAAAGTCGGAGAATCTAAGGCCATACCCAGAAAGATCACATGCCAACCATTAGGATGGTTTAGGTTTGTGCCCCGGAGGGCTCCAGCGATACCCAAACGCATTCGCCACTGCATTTGGGTATGTCTTTTTATTTGGGCATTGGAGTACCCAAAAAGATCCCAAAGTGCCAGTTGAGCACAAGCCGAGGTGGACCCCAACGGGAGGGGCTGTTGCTATCAGACATCGAACCCCAGATCATTTAAATCAGCCCACCAACAGCTCTGGAGAGCAGTCCGAGCTGCCTGGCGCCCCTTCAGCGTCCGGCCCGATAGGGCACGGACATCGAGAAGCGGCAGGTAGAGAAGATCAGGCTGTGCTTCCAGCAGTTCCTCATGAAGTTTATGGCCGAGGGCCAGGCCGGGGCTTAAGTCCCCCCCCCACCCCCGCACAGCTGCGATTTTTCTTGTTTTCATATGAGTCCCCCCCCCCAAAAAAAAAAAGAAGAAGAAGAAGAAAGCGGAGCATACTTACAGTGTATTCGGGGATCCCAGGGTTGTGGTTAGTCTTTGGGGAAGTAGGCCGCCGCTTGGACTTCGGCATGTAAAGTTTGAACAAGCATGCGGCCGCGCAAGTCAACACTGTAGTGTTCACAAGATTCGCTTAAGTCAGATTTGAATCCAGAACAGTTTGGTGGCCGGGAGCATCAGTGCCAGCATGAGTGCCATTTGAGTGCCTTTGAAATATGTTGGGGCGCAAGTCCGAGGTGGTTGCATGACCGGTTCCCCTGCAGGCCCTTTTGCCATAGTGTTTGTTCAGCCCTACTTGCGTTTCCTTCTCTGCTTCTCTCCCTGCCTCTGTTTCCCGTCCTGCTTTCTTGTTTGCTGGCTTGCCCATGCTGCATGCTTATGAACTCTCAGGCGGCGTGCATGCTTACACAGTGGCCACTTGTGAGGTTCCAATTTTGAGGCCCCAACTAGAGTACACAACTTGTAAGAAGACAGCCGCTTGGAATTCAATTGAACACCGGTTTTTCTCCTCATGTGTAGTGTGGTTTGGTAGGTTTGGTTTGGGTTGCTTCTTGGTTTGTTTGCTTGGCTGGCTGGGTTTGTTGTTTTGTTGCCTTGGGTTGCTTTTGCCCCAACCATGAACAGGCACCGTACCCTTCATGACACGCCATGTTAAGAGTCGCTTGCCGGACGTTTCTCGCACACTTTGAGGCTACCTCACCAAAGAGGTGTAGCTTAGAGAGGCGACAAGAGCTTTCAAAAGTTCTCAGCCAAGCGAACGGGCCCAATCTTTTGCGGGTTCCCCAATTTGCCGCCACTATCCGCACAGAAGCTCAACCAGCCGCAAGTTGCCCATTTGGCTTTCCCTCGCCGGAGGATATCCCCAAGTACCCGGACCTGTTGCGGAAGATGGCGGAGGAGCATCAGGCGAGGCAAAGCAGTTGCCGTTGCCCCACAGAATCCGCATCAAATGTCTCCAGACATGCCAAGTGCGTGTCTCAAGACGGGGGCGCCCCCACATACGTAGTTGATTTGTGGCCCCCTCGGAAACAACTCAAAGAAAATACCTTAAAAAGAGGCACAGTCTATGTGTCCCATATCGTTTTAGATAGCTGCATATTTTTGTGTGTTTGATGTGTGTGCGCGTCACATTTCCATCCAATCCGTTCATCCATCCAGTGCGTGCACACAGTGCACGGGGTGTTCAAAATGTTGGGGATTCCTTTGAGGACCATGGCGCCAGGCCCAACACGGCGACCACCTTCGGGTCATCCAGGGATAGGGGCGATCCCTGGATAAGCCGAAAGGATAAGCCCCTAACCCCTCAAGTTTTGGGGTACCATGTGTGGGGGGTGCTGTGGCGCATACACGGTAGCCCTGAGGCGCACCTGGAGGTTAGCTACATGGACGTGCAAACCTGGAGCGGCCAGCTGGCCATGTGGATCTCCGACTTCCCCCAGCACATCCTACCCATTATAAACGAGACCTTGATGCTCGCGCGGGGTTTAAAGAGAGAGAGAGAGAGAGAGAGAGAGAGAGAGACAGCGAGACAGAGATAATTTGGGCTCGAACCCTTTTTATGTCAGCGGCAAACAAAGCCCAGACCCTATCCCTCCCCCGAAACTAGCTAAGCCTAGCCTCAAACCTAACTAGACGTAGCTGCTTCAATGATTTCCCAGTGTTCATTTTATGCATCACGCAGGTGATCACCTTTTGGGATTTTCCAGGTCCGTCGGTTGCAAGGATCTTTTTTGAACAAGTGACTTGCATGTTTAGGATCGTGAAGTGTAGATCATGGCAAGTAAACAGGACGGCCAACCAAACATAAGCAAAGTAGATTGAGCTTGACATTTCTAGGTCTTCATGTGGGACACCTAGAAAATTCAGCCTCCAGTTCCACATGCTGCGCCTAAGGATGCTGGTGGCAGCGCAGCGCTTTAAGACCTACGCCAAGCTGGCGGAGGCAGACCCGGGGTGGTTCAGTTGGCTTCGCAGGAAATGTCCATAGCCAGACCCTACAAGGGAAGTGCTGTGGGAGTAGTAGATAGTAGTAGCTCCAGGTGATTCCAAGCATTTTCTGCAGAAACCCTCCTTTGCCTGGGGGGGGTTCACCCATCCTCTTGGGCGCTTTTGGGGATGGTCTGTTTCCTTGACATTCTTTACGCAGTGCTTTATACCCAAGTTTGGAGGAAACCTGCCACGCGGAGGAGTCCCTGATTTGAGACACTCCTGCCGATGTTGGTGCCATGTCCCAACTTTCGCCAAAAAAAACGGCAATCCAATGACCCCTGCTTGCCCTTCTGCTTCTTGCTGATCCGCGGCTCAAGCGTGACCAAGTGACAAGAGGGAACAGCATTCCTTGAATCAGGCGCTGCGCACCGATTGGATTCATTTGGAGTCTGAACTGAACAATTTTCCGGGGTTGGGGCACGGGGCTTGAGCCCAGACTAGTTCCTCCAGCAGAGTGGCTGGACCCGGAAAATGGCACTACAGAGGGCCAGGTTGCTTCCCTTGAGTGTCCCGGTCTGCGTCACTGTTGCACTCGGTAGGGGGAGACTTGTCAAGCATCACCCCCTCAATCACAACGCAAGCTTGGCCAAAGCCAGCCGTGCGAGGCAGGGGAGAACGAGCTCCGTGTGGCAGTCCACTCCTTCCCGGTGAAGGACCCCATCCGGGACCTCTGCACCCGGCACATCAACAAGCTGGCCGCTGGTCTAAAATGGAAGGGCCATGGCAAGCTTCACCGTTCTTGATTCATGTTCTTGTTGCTTGAGTTGTTTGTGTGTTGTCACCATTTTAAGTGCCGGCAATCAGTATGTTTGCATGCTTGGCGGAAGGATACCCTTGCATTTTGAGATCCCTCGAGGTGGAGATTCTTTGTGATCCACGCGTCATGTGGGAAGGGTACCTTTAGCATATTATGCACCTTGGTATGTTCTTTGCAGCCGTGCATTTTGACCTCCAAGGTACCTACGGGTAATGTGTTTGAGGCCTTGGGGCAGTCCGAAAGGTGATCAGTTTTGTTACCTTCCTGAAAATGAAATGCAACCACCTCAAGGATTATTGCAAAGACAACGACCACTTTTGAGTTTCATTTTCTTACCCTTAGGAGAACTATTGCATACATTTGTCAACACCCTTTTGCAAGTGAGGTGGATGTAACGGGTGTCGTCACCAAGCGCTCGACCGTGCACAACCAGGCCGGACTGGTAGCGTCAATAGGGGGGCGCCCCAATGATTTTCAATTAAAAGGGGGATTCCATCACTTTCGAGGGAAAGCACCCTCTAGTCATCCGCATAGTTTACTACTGCGAGCTTGGCAGCGCAAGACTGGTTGAAATAGGAAGGGCAGGGGGGTTGAAATAGGAAGGGCAGGGGCCCCTCGGCAAAGGGGTTTGGATTTGTTGACTGTCTACCCACGGTATGAGGCTTAAATGAGCTTGACGTTGGGCTAGCCCCTCTGCCTGTGGCACGCGTTGGCCTGTTTTCACAGATTTTGGGTCTTTGCCTCAGCAAACTGGCTCGTTTCGCACAACTCCTCGGGGTATTTGGGCACGTGGAGGGTTAGTTGGGATCTTCCTGCGAAAAGGGAAGGGCACTTCCCCTTAGGCAATTGTCAAGGCACCCCTTGGTTCTCTTTTTTGGGGGGGCTCGGCCTGTGACAGGAACTCCTCGGTCCCAAGCTGATGATACCCTCCAGATGTGTTGTCTGTCAGGTGCCCCCGTTCGGTGCCGCTCAAACCTGCCAGGTGAAGCGGCTCTGGGTGCGCTGCGCGAAGTGCAACTTCCCCTCCGGGCCCTTCGACGTGGCGGAGGACAAGGATCTCCGACCTTCCAGGCGCACACCCAGAAACCGCTTTTGTTTTACCTTTGCTACTGTGGTCTGCCGTTGGCAGTTTTGTTTAGATGAGTTTGGTTTGTTTCATATTGTTTCTCAGGTTCTGTGTTGCGTTGTTGGCTTGTTTGTGTGTCGATGTGTGTCGTCTGCTTTTGTAGCTTTGTTTGTGTTTGCGTAGGTGTTTGTGTGCAAAGTCCATGTGTGTGTCTGTGTGTGTGTGTGCGCGTGAGTGAATGTTTGTAACTTGTGCTCGTCGCTTGTTGTTTGCTCGCTTGGGGGAGTCATGCTGTTGAGCAGAGCTGCGCTGACATCAGTTGTGTTTGACTGCATTCATTGGTTGGTTGGCTGGTTGGCTGGTTGGCTGGTTGGCTGGTTGGCTGGTTGGCTTGTTGGTTTGTTGGTTTGTTGGTTTGTTGTTTTGTTGGTTTGTTGGTTGATTGGTTCATTGATTGGTTGTTTGGTTGACTTGACTTGATTTGATTTAATTTTGTTTTTGGGGGCATGTACGTTTATCATAGCATGTTTGATTATTGCCATGGCCAACGCGCCATTTGGCTCAAGTTTACTGTTCCGGCAACCGCTCTTGCCATTGCGTCGGCCACCTGTTCACGGCGCCGCAGCGACCACGTGGAAAAGTTCCGCGTGTTCGCCAGTCGGCGGTGGCAGTGTTGCTGGTTGTGGGTCAGGAGTTAGAGGTTGGGAACTCGCTTTGTTGCTGCTGCTCCGCTTTTGCTTGGTTAATTGTTTTGCTCGCTTGCTTGCTGCGCTCGCTTGGTTGGCTGCGCTGGTCCCCTTTCCTGTTTGGGTTTTGCGGTTAAACAGGATTCCCCGTTTGTTATCTGTGTGGTTCTTTGCCAGCCGAGGGCACCACTTTGCCCTTGGGACTGGGGGGCTTAAACTGTCTCTTCTTGTTGGTGGGTTAGGGCCTGTTTATTCTCTCCCGAAATACTGTTTCAAACCCTTTCGCAGGTTATCAGCCGTAGGATTCGTCCTCGGTTGGCACCGCGAACCCCTTTTAATAACAACCCTGCAGGTACCGTAGGTCTCTGTAGGCGTCATGTCGGGAGTCACTGAGGACGGACCTCATGTGGTGACCGACGAATGGGTTCTCGGCCAGGCCGGAATCTTGGACGTTGTGAATGACGACCAAGTGCCCGGACAGCCGATGTTTTCCGGTCCTGACTTTTTGTCGGACCACTCTTTTTCAGAAGCAATGCCTTCAGGAAGATCCAGTGCTACTCGCACTGATGAGCTATCGTCTAATGCCTCAAGAGCTAATCGCTCTCAGGGTCATGGGGCTAATCGTCCTGACCATGATGATTCCGTCTCAGGACGTGATGATGACGAGCCCGGTATTGCACCTGGAGCTCAATCCTCATCTTTCCCGGAGCTGATGAATATTGGTCAGTCCGAGTTTCGTGACTCTCGAAGTAGCAGTAGACCTGTGCCAACCAGCAGTATAGTTTTTCAAGCGCTCGGTAATCCCGAACCTGGTACATCCAGTGGAGTTGCATTTGATGTTCATCTGCCGACCGAATCCGGTGGGCTCGATTGGAGAGCCTCATGGCCCAACGACGGAAACATTTTTGGTATGGATTTTGCCGCATGGATGCCAGGGCCACCCGCCCCGTCATCTTTCCCGCATTTCCAAAGCCCAAAACGAGCTGCTGGAAGTGATGAATTCATGCTACCTTTGTCGATTGAGAATCTCAATCCTGATGTGGCCAGCCGCAACGTCAGGCCAAGACCGTCGGTAAACCCGACCATGAGGAACATGTCTCCTCCCCCGGGACTTTCGGGATTTGAGAGCCCTAGGGAGCGTAATATCGTAGATAGATTGGATTTGCATCCCAGTCCAACCCCAAGCAAACGATCAAGGTCAAATTCGACTGGATCGCATAGGGCAAGGGGGATGGATCGGGAAACTGCTCACAGGGGTAACCCCAGTGCGCGGGACTCAGGACGCGGCCGATCAGGTGACCCAGCGTCAATCATTGGAAGAGACCCGTTAAACGCGGACACACTCGTTAACGTGCTTGATGGGATCGAGGCATTCCAGGAGGAATTTAATAGGTCTAGTGGCTTGAACATGCGAAGTGTTCACCCTACGCCCAACGCGGCTTCCATTTTCGCTCTGGACAATATGGACGGAGCTAATGTTCCGATAGAATCTGAGTCCATGATGGCATCAAGTTCTAGTCGCAATCATACCATCAGTAATGGAACTGATATTGAATCGATGTCTGAGTCTAGAGTGTCCAATGCGACCGACTTGAATGACATTGTTATTGCTGACTCGAGACCTGATGTTCCTATGCGAACGGATAGGCCTGTTGTTCCTAAACTGTCCGTTGCCAAAGGCCTGGGCATGACACAACCCTCTGCGGTTCGTGATGCTAGGAGATCTGCTCCGTATCAGAGTCAATCTCCTAATCGGAGTGAGTTCCCACGGCCATCAACGGCCGTCCAGGATGATTTCAGAACTCCTCCGAGATCTAATCCAATCATGGTCGATTTGTCCACTCCTCGAGATCGCGGATCAGGATATGGTCCTGCGAGTGAGGAGCAACCCAACGAGGTTGCTGATCTTGTGACAGCCCTTGAAAGAGGGACGGTGGATTCTTCGGTAAGTGCGATCATTCATCGCCTGGTTGCTAAGGTCGAAGACCTTGGGCGTAGGAATGATAGAAGTGATCAATGCATCAAGCAGCTCTCCACTGAGGTCGACTCGTGGAGGGCCAAATACGAACAATGTGTCCATGTGAGTAGCACGTGTACGCAGGCTGCGAACGCGGCCATGCAGCTATCACAAGGGAGTAAGGACATCGTGACCGAGCTTGGCCAACGCGTCAAGATCGTTGCCGATCGCATGATAAGCATGGGCGATGCCCTAAGTGAGCGAGCCAGCTATGATGATGTTGCTCGCTCCATCACCCAGGTTCAAACTGTTTTTGAATCTCTTTCTGATCGTGTAACCGGGCTTATAGCTCGTGTTGATATGATCGAGAGATCTCTAGTGGAGAGCCAATCCAACCATCCTGCGATTGGTGGAGTAAACCTCAAAATCGAGGACCTGTCCACTAGGGTATGTCAGATTGATAGGATGATGCAAGATGTCGAACAACGCTGGACCAATAATAGGGACGGCATAAAGTGGGTTAAAGACCAACTTTATGAGACACAAGCCAACCTTGAGATAAAGTCAAGGGACTGCAAATCCTACACGGACAAGCAAAATACTCATAACATGGCCGTTTCGACTACGCTCAACAGTAAGCTCGAGCAAATGCTCGAGGTGCTGGGTAATACGGCCCAGAGAATTAACTCCCTAGAGTCAAGGCACTCGAACCAGGCCTCAGGTAGTGGATTGAACGATCACACAGGAGGAAGGCGTGCCGCATCCCGTACTCCGGATAAGCGGCCACCTCCACCTGGCCCTCCTGATGATGATCCTCCACCACCTCCTCCTCCAGATTGGCAAAGCCCAGGAGGAGGGGGGAAGAAGAGTGCCGCCGGTGGGAACCCTGGCAACCCTGGTAAACCCAGATGTAAATACATAGGTGATGGATATAATCATCTCATGGCTGAGTTTCACTGCAAGGGATGCAGAGGTGATATTTGTGAGTATTGCTTCTCGTTTAAAGAGAACCTGTGTGAAGAATGTTCCCGTAACGGACCCCGATGCGGAGTCTGTAGGGAGAGCTCGTTCCTGACCAAGGGAATTGAGTGTCAGTTTTGTAAGACCTACTACTGCACCAGACATTCTGCTGGGCAGGACGACTACAGGAGATTTGGATTTGTCCAGGGTCCCTGTTGTCTTGCGTGCCTAAGGGACGAAACTAGGAGAAGAAGGGATCCCGATGGTAACCGTGTCAGGAATAGGTCGCCTGGGGGCGTACCTGAGGCGAACCCGACGCGGTCGTTCTCGCCGCCTCTGCGGCCACCCGTTGACAGATTCCGTGACACCCCAACTGGGGGTCAACCCAACGCGGCTGACCTTCAGAGTCCTCCGAAGGCTACGCAACCCGTGCCCCTGGATAAACGTGAAACCGGATATTATCCAGGATTTGATCCCAACGGTACAAGGCCAAAGGATCCTTCAGGCCTTGAGCCGCCGACCATGCGTGGCCCCGATCCTCCTGACAAGAAATGTCGGATGTGTGATCGGGATATTCCTGATCCCAGCAAAATTGAGGAATGTAAGATATGCATGAAAAGGGCATGTGAGATTTGCATTCCGAAGGCTACTCGCCTTTGTCCTGTATGTGCATTGTCAATCGGTAGTTCTCAGGTTCCACAGCATCTTTTCGGAACTGGTGGCGGCGGGTACAGTAGCCACCATGATCCGAACTGTACAGCTGCGACTAAGTGCATTCCCATAGACCTCCCGCCAGAGCCCGACGCGGCTGGGCTGAGGGTATGGATAGCCAATATGAAGATGGACTTTACGTCATCAATTGGCTAACTGAAGTCGAGAAGGCAAAGACCTTTGATGAACTGGATGGGGAATGTAAATACCACATCCTTGAAGCCAGGTTCAATGCAGCCATTCGGAAGTGCATCAAGACTGTTGCAATTATCGATAAGATTAATCGTCTCACCGAAGCCGCTCAACGCTCCAACAATCGCATCAAGAGTAGGCAGATCCTGTGGCTCTTATACGACCACTTAAGGACTGCAAATATCGGAGAGCAATCATTTAGGATAATCGAGCTCTCAAACTTGCGATGCAGTGTGTCATCTTTCTATACTGAAGAGGAGCGACTTGAAAGGTTCATCGCGAAGTGGGATCACATCCTTGCGGGTCTCGATGAACCGCTGACCGAGCAGGTCAAGCGATCGCTATTCAGTGAAAAGGTTAGACACCTCAACTGTTTGGCTCATGATATCAGGGAATGGGATAGGAACATATCCAACCCTGATGTTTGTAGCTATGAATGGCTTCGTGCTCGTTGTAAGAACGAAATTGACCGCTGGAGGGTTCGTAAGAATCAGGTCAA